GTGGTGCCTGTCCCTGACTCTACCATAAACAGAAACCAGACAGTAAATGGGCTAGCTGACGACCCGGGGCCTCCCGTCGCCCTGATGGCTAGTACCAGTAATTGACACGCCTGCACTGTCCCAGGAGAGGAATCTTCGCCCATCACATACCAGAGGTGCCCATTGTCTTCATTTTCCCAGGTGTGAATTATGCTTTGCACCCTTTGTGGGAAACTTGGTGTTCAAAGCCATTTTTCCTAATTGGCCACTTGAGCCCAGGAAGAAGCCTACATGACCCAAGGGGTATAAAAAGAGGTTCAGCCGCCCACCCCATTTGAGCTCCAATCATCTATACCTGCTGGCAGGTATTGATTGTCTCCCGAGGTCTGTGGGACGCCCAACCTCGCCCTACTTCTTCCCGAGGGATTGAGAGAAAGACGCTGGCCACGCCAAGTCTGGAACGCAGGGGTGAGAATATATACCTGCTATGTGTCTATTTTGCATGCATTTAATAAGAGCTCAGAGAACCAAAGGGTTTCATGGTACCTGTAAGTGACTTATTAGTGTAATTTCTGTCCTGTCCTTTGTAGTGTCTGTGTTATCTGTAACACAGTAGTAGCATTTAACAACTAAGTTTACCCTGTAACAATAAAATAGTAACTGTTTAAGCTTTAACCTGACTCCTTCAGTTGCTGTAACAGAACCAAGCACAATTTAAAAGAACTTCAGCCAGTCATAAGGGACTCACTGCCCTGACTGTTGGCTGACACCCGCCCTCCAAAAGGTTTGTTTGCTGGTTTTGCCTGAGTGATAAGACATGAGACTGAACTGGATTCCCTTCATTAACAGTCTTACTTACTCTAATTATTTAATCATTCCACTTAATTGGATATCAGGGCGTAGATGATCACACAATGTAAAATAAATTAACAGCTGTAGGCCAATCACAGCTGTCAAATTAATAGTGTAACCGTTCTAGCTGAAGGATTCTTGCAGGTGGTTGCTCTAGTACATGTAATAATGTTAAAAACGGTAAGTGAATTATCCATAGCAACTCAGCTAGTCTGAAGCAGGACCTGGAACTCTGGTCTCTCACCCCAACTCAGACCTATACTCTAACCACTAGGCAGTGCTTCCTATGTATTCCAAAAGGGGACTATCAGGAGTTAAAAGCAGGCTCTCTAGAAAGGTACTTGCAGTCCTTCAAAGAACAAATTGTCAGCCCTGATAAAGAACTGAGAAGTACTTTATAAAATTCCTGTATTTAAGGAGTGCAGTGACCTGCCATCACTACAACTTCATTAGGTTTTTCTCTCAAATATGGTTTGTGTTCACACACCATACAGCTTACTAGTATTCTCCTAGGAATTGATTTATCTTCTCCAATAGTGCATGTGCCATATTGTAGACCAAAATGACTCTGCTATTATGGTTTCCTTTAGAGAATACTAACCAATGGAAATTACCATACTCAAACTTTTTTTCTTAGCTGGCCTTGAGAGTTAAGGCACTGTTTGTCTACAGAGAAAGGTGATAGGACAAGAGTATTGTTGACTGAAGGTTATAAAATGGTATGTACATGCTGTCCCTCCTATCAAAACCATGCACCTACGTGGGGCATGAGGCAAATGAGTTTAAAATGTTGGAAATCTCTAGTCAAATCTGAAGTGGGGAGCATTATAATTAATATGTATTATGCTATAAAGACAAGCTAAGAATATTTACAGTGGAAATGTACCAAAGTATACTGTAAAAAACTAGTTTCTGGGGGCATTGATATTTTAGGGGTTATTTATAAAATTCAGTATATCAAAGAGAAAAATACTTTTCAGAATTAAATATTTCAAGGGTGTGGAAGGGTTAGTTTTTATAATCAAGATGAAATATTAATGGAGATACAAAACAAAAGATAATTTCCCTCATGAGACTCTTTACTGCTACTTCAAAGACTGATCTTGCTTTACTTCTGTTTCATAATTGTCTTGTTTATTTCATAATTATACTTTTCACAAAAGGGAATTATTTATTTGGGAATGATCTAGAGTGGCCAAAGCCAAGAAAGTAGCAGAGATGAAACTGTTAAATTTAGCTCTGGAGCTTTCCTCTTTTAAAAAGAAAAGTAACTATAATTAGTTTTTTTTTTTTTTGATACATAATCGCATTCTTGTTGTCTAATTTCTAAATAGAATAAGCAGTATTCAGGTACTACTATGTAGTCATTTGTAGCCTACAGGCCAGCCTGCTTACTTGCCTATATCTGTATATCTTTTAAGTTTCTTATTATGGGCTTGATTATTTGTTTTATTAATAGATTTACAGGTTTATATTAGAGCAGTGGTTTTCAAACTATGGGTCACTATCCAGTATTGAGTTATGGAATGTCAGGCACTCGTTGCTTCAGGGTGATCAGTGGGGGAGCTAAGGCAGGCTACCTGCCTGTCCTGTCATCGCAGACTGCACTGCACTCCAGAAGCAGCCAGCAACAGGTCGGGGTCCTAGTTAGAAGGGAGAACACACAGGGCTCCACACACTGCCCCTGCCCTGAGCACTAGCTCTGCACTCCCATTGGCTGGGAATCTGCTGCTGGCTGTTTCTGGGGTGCAGCATGGTCTGCCAGTAAGTTTTTCAGAAGGCTGGCCAGCAGCCCGGCTCAGTTCTGGCTCACACCGGGTCTGAGACCTATCCCCACTGTGGCTCTGCATTTAAAGTGTATTAGGAGCCAGGTGGGCAGGTAGCCCGGCTCAGTTCTGGCTCATACCAGGTCTGGGAGCTCAGCCCCCCCTTCCGCTCCCCTCAACAGGGCCTGCTGCCATTTGCACTGCTGCTTCTGTATCAGAGGCAACAGCACAGGGCCACAGGCAGTTAGTCCGTGAGGGAAGCTGGTTTAAAACTGGCTCCCCTCACAGACCAGCTTCTGCCTGGCATCCCAGCTTCTGTATCAGAGGCAACAGCACAGGGCCACAGGCAGTTAGTCCGTGAGGGAAGCTGGTTTAAAACTGGCTCCCCTCACAGACCAGCTTCTGCCTGGCATCCCAAGCTGCTGTCTCTGATATAGAGGCAGCAGCACGGAGTGGTGGGGGGCTCCTCAGGAGTGGGGCTGGAGCACACTGGCTGCTGGCCCCACCCCTGGGGACTATAGAACAGAATTCTTGAGGTTAACAGATGATTCAATTAACTGATATTTAACATCCCTATGATGAGCTAAAACATAAGGATCATAAAGTTAAAGGTGCAACCTTTAACATGGAAGTTGTGTTAAAGTAGCTTTGCTTAGGGGCTTTCTTAAGTTCATACCCCTTTAAAACTTAATTAACCACAACTTGGAAAGAACCAAAATAACTAATTAACACAGCAATAACAAATGTGGTACCTAA